TGCTTCTAAAACACTTTGTTTTAATGAAAAGAGAAGTTAAATGGTAAACCGAATGCTTAGTTATAGCACTTTTCTGTACTTTGATACTGAAATGCTTTCACTACAAGTTACATTCACTCAAACTGGGGGCAACCTGGTGGTAAATGTCTTGCCTAAAGACAATGTGGCATGTAGTGGGGGAAGCCAGGATCAAACTGCAATTGGCAGACCACAACTCTAATATTTAGATTCCTTGAAAAACCACCAATGCAATACAAATATATGTATTAAATATAACAAGCACTATATTTATTAAATAAGAAGTATGTGTTGTTGTCATTGTATGTTCACATACAATGACAAAATTAGTTCTTTGCATATGACCCATCACATGTGGGATACACCCAGGTGGAGCAGTGGGCAGCTATGTAGGTGCCCGGAAAGCAGTTAGGGATTGGGTGTCTTGCTCAAGGACACCACGACATGTGGGCATGGTAAGGGGTTGAGCCGGCGGTGTTCTGGTCCCAGTTCAGCTGCTCTGCCTCTACACCATCTTGTCCCCTTGCTTACGGCACCTGGTATTCTGAGGTGGTCTCTCATCCAAGTACTAACCAGGTCCAGCTCTGCTTAGCAGCCGAGATCAGATGAGCTCAGGCGTGTTCAGGGTGGTATGGTCGTAAAGAAAAAGGTACACATTTAGTCTTTAATGCTTTGTGTATAAAACTATTAAAAACTTTTTATAACACATCAGTGAACAAGGTTGAGTTTACTGTGAAAGAGGACAAAAGGCCCAAAAACCAAGTGGCAAGTCAAGATTCAGGTATTTTTAATTTGTCTGTAAATACTGTATTGACCCTTAGGTCTCCTGGAGAAATATCAGTAACTTCACTACCCTCTAAAGTTCCTTAGGGGGAAATCGACCGTTGGGTGATGCTGTTCTAAATGCATTTTCTGGTCCCATAATTATAATATAAAATACATTATTTTCAGAATTTTACCTCTATATTTTTTTATTTTTAAATTAGCTCACTTGGTCATGCTTTGCATTTTACATTTGAGAACCTCTGTAAAACTTTACCAACATCAACTAACGATGCACATCTTTTCCAACAGGACGATGTGTCACATTCTCTGCTCATCTCACCCGACACAATTATTTTAATTTAGATGTAAAGAGCAACAACACACTTGTAGGCTGCACAAGTTAACATACAATACAAACTGTCCCACATGCGTGCAAGATGAGGAATCAGAGGCTCCACGATTCAGAAGTTTATTCCCTTTCACTTGATTCAAATCGGGGTGCATGCTCAGTCAGTACTTTGTAATGCATTGTCTCTAGATAGTTTCACGCCTACTCTTGGTTTGTTGTGTAAAGTTACACAATCAAAATTAACAGCAATATTTTGGTTTATTTAGCTTTTGAAAAAAAAAATAAAAAAAATTCTTATTAGTCGTATTTTCACCATGTTACTCATACTCATAAATATAGTTCCCAACTAAATATTTAATTTCCAAGCTAAATATTTAGTTTACAAACTAAATACTTAACTTGCAATTTAAATATTTAGTTTGTAAGCTAAATATTTAGCTTGGAAATGATAATTTTTCCATTTACCCTTTATTTATCCAGGTAGTCTCATTGAGCCACGAGAACTCATTTTCAAGAGAGACCTGTTTTTTTAGGGAGCAGATGGGGGTTAAGGGCCTTGCTCATGGGCCCAGAGTGGGGCGAATGGGGGTGGGGGCAGGCATGGGTGCTTCACCTACCCCACCCACATTTTTTTTTTTATGTTGTCGGTACCCGGGCTTGAACTGGTGATCTTCCGATCACAGGCCCACCTTCTCTAAATTAAATATTTAGTTGGGAACTATAACATTTATAAATGTTTGAATGACATGTTGAAAATATGACTGAATTTTTTTTCTTATTAAAGGCTAAATAAACCAAAATATTGCTGTTAATGTTTGACTGTGTAACTTTACAAACGGCACCCCATATGTTGAAAACATTTAGTCTGAACAAAGTTCATATCGACTTCAGCTCACTCAGACACCCTGAATGTTGCACTAACAAAGTACAACACCAATAAAACTAATTTACCCGTACGTTTATATAGAACAGTCAATAAAAAAAGCAGGTAAAACATTGACTATAATTTAAGTATTTGCGGGCGCAAGCCCAATTTTAGGCATGTGTACTAACTAAAAATGGTTTGATCTGGAGGGTCCAATCAGACATAAATCCGTGCATAAATAAATATATATATATATATATATATGTATACAGGTCCGATGAGCTGGAGTGATTTCACTTAACTACAGACTAATTTCTTTTTTAATTTGTCAGGAAAAAAAAACAACAATTGGGGGTAAGGTGGAAAAATGCCCCTTTGTATCTTCCAAAATTAAACAGTCAATTTAAAGAAAATACTTAAAAGTTAAAATAAAAACAATTTCAGGCTTTATTGTCAAGTTTATTGAGAAAAATCTATTAGAAACTAGTGTTTTTAAGCAGCTCTGTAAGGTGGTCAATATTTTCCCACTTAGGAATATACACTGGTAAAGCTAAAGGACATTCTGAGGGTTAATGAAAGAAGCTCTTCTTGGTCAGATGGGTATTAATAAGTAAAGCTATTGGACAATTGATAGATTTGATGGAACTGTGTTGTTTTTCATATCACAAATGTGAAGCAGCTAGTCTCACACACACAACGAATGAATTTTTTCTTCTTGCATCTCACCTTGAAATATTTTCTGAAGGGAACAAGACCCCAAAGATTTCACCACACATTTCAGTCTTCTCAGTAGTACCTTGGTATCAGACGGTTAGGATGGAGAGCTTTCTTGCTTCCTGTTGAGAAACAGCATCCTCTGCTAAAACTTCTTGGTCAAGTGTGGGTGTTGAGACTACTGGTACTAATCAGACTTTTTTTAAAGTCCAGATTCTTAAATCCTCTTCAAACAAACAAACAAACAAACAAAAAAAAAAACCCATACAAAGTGAAAGAAAACAACAAAAGTTTTATTTAGAAAGAATTCACAGTTTCTAATGGCACTACAGTTTTGTAGCAACTCACTCCTGCTCAAAAATACTGTGCAGCTCTTCAGAGTACTCAGAGAGAGAGGGAGGGAGACAAAGTAAAGATAGCACTTGACAAAGTAGAAAAATAAAAAGGCATGAGGAATCATACAAAGTGCACAGAGTGAACAAAGTCTTTGCAAGTGCTTCCTCCCCATGTTGCAGAGTTTAAGAAGGTTCCAAGTAGTCTTTCTCACACAAACACACACGGGACACAAAATTATCTCCCAAGCATACAGGTACACACACAGATTCAAAAATGGATTAGGGGGAAACAACCTGCAAAGGATTTCCGCAGCTTGTGAAACACATCATCACTATAGTGTTGCAAATTGAATTAATCTATCCTGTACTCCCTTTATTCAATAATTAATGTCTCCTGCAAGAAACGCCAGGGTCAGTCAAGATGGGGTAAACGCGTGAAATCGAACGGCAACAATGAGTGACGACGAACGAAGTGTGAGAACGTAGAAAGATTACAGAGTGAGCTACGTGTCGAACAGGGAAATAAAGACTGGAGTGGTTAAAGCAAGCATCTCTACAGTCAGACAGAGGCATGCATCGAGGACCAAAGGCAGCTAAGACTACACAGAGATGAGCTGTAAAAAGCTGGAGCAAATGGTAACAATGGAAGAGAATAATATCTGAAGTGTGTCTCTGTCAAAATGTACACAACACCAACCACAAACAGCCAGTCAGAAACTACAGACAGAAAATTACATGTCATCTTTTAAACACAAAGAATGAATACCCTGTATCACAACTTCCTGCACAGTTCAAGATGAATGTTAGCGCGTCTGCCACGAATCAAACAGGGCAACTTAATCAACCGTCTCATCCAGAGAAGATGCACAAAGAGGATAATCAATAAGCAACCAGCCAGCAGCGTCTTGATCCTAACAAAACCAAAGGCTCAGTTACTATTTTAGCCGGAAATGGAAGATGATCTGAAAATTCAGGCTAGATCAAACACTTAGAAGATTTTACAAAGTGAAAATCTTAAAATGTAACAAAGAAATGTGTTTTTGAGCCATTCACCATGACTGTGTGCCACTTCTGACAATTTCTCTGAAAAAACTTTCTTAATGAGGCCTCATGGATCATTTTGACTCACGGCTGGCAGGAGAGAGGAACTACTGCGAACTCGTAGAACGGGCAAATCAGTGCCTTGGAAAAAAAAAAAAAAACATGCTATAGTATTTTAAATAAATAAATAGATAAATAAAACTGGTCATCTGCAGGGTCCCGATAGTTGTGCAGGTGAAAACAACTGTAAACATTCACTTCTGGTACCGAACAAATGCAACACTAGGCACTAAAAAGACATTATTCCATCCTACTGGTTGTGATGTTAGTCAAAATAACTCAAACCAGAATTGTTAAAAAAAAAAAAAAAGTGTCATGGCTCAGTTTAGAATGACTGGAAACGGATCCCAGTTTGCCTTTAAGCATGTTTACCTCTGTCACAAAACAAAATGTATATGTTTTTTTTTTTAAATGAAGAGCGTAGTTTTATACAAAGTGAGTAAATCTTTTGGGCCCAGCCCAAATAACCCAACAGAGGGAATGATTCCTTGTGAGCTCAGAGAGTGCAGGCTGCTTGCACATGCACCTCGATTACGCAATTAAAAACACTAAAAGGGCAAACACTCAACACCATAATCCCATCAAACAATATGGTTTTCTTCATTCTGCCTCTGTGGTTGGTTTGGAACAGACTAACAGGACACAAATATGAAACGTGCAAAATGAAATCCTAACACTCTGGTCCCATACAAACACCGACAGACAGGATAGACGAGAATTTAAAAAAAATGGAGAGAGAATTCAGAAGGATGAGAGGAAAAACTTGTCATGCTTCACACTTCTCTTACGACGACATGTTTCATCTAAAACAGCAGCCTAATACTTGAAGGAACGTAGAACGAGGTCATCGCCTCTTCTCATTGTGCTCAGAGTGGGAGAAAAATATTCACTGACGCTCTGCTGTTTGGAGACAATGTGCTCATCCAGAAGAAGACATCTTCTGATGGAGTTGATGTGTACCAATGTGTCTCCGCTCACAGCAGAGTCTCTCTTTGAACATCAACAACTCTCTAACCCTTTAAAGTTTTTAACTATTTAAAATGTGTCGAACAGAAATAAAGGCACAGAACCGTAAATAGTACTTTTACAGGAGTGAACTGGGGCTGGATGATAAGCTAATAATGCTAAATCCACTCATGACCAATGGTGTGCCTCGGTGCTCATGGGAAATGTAGTTCTTTGGGATTTTCAAGAACAAATTCTCCACTCCAGTCTGCTAATGTAAAATGAACAGGATGTTGTGTAGCAGTGAAGTGTGCGATTTCAGACGTGTCCGGTGATGGCTGTCACCCCAATGGTCCCAACGCTTATTTCCTTGTTTCCCTTCATGAGCTGCTGCAGACTGGGCAGAGAGCTGATGTCTCCCCCTGGTTCATGAGGGAACTGCAACTCTGTCTGTCGAGATTTCCGACGCTTCGTCGAGCGCTTCTCCTGACGGGACTTAGCAGGGAACTGACTGAGGGGAACAGAAAGGCCATGGCCATTGCACAAGCTAGCAGGGGTGAAGATGGGAGAGGGGAGGGGGAGGCAACTTGTGTACGACTCCTCTGAGTGGGTGGACGAGCTGCAGCTACTGGTTTCTGAGGGAAACTCTTTAGAGGGGCAGGGGGGCAAAGATGACGCTTCGTTTGAAGATGGAAGAGGAGGAGGCAGAGGGGGAAGAGGAGGAGGAGGTGGGGCAGGTAAGGCAGGGGGAGGAGGTGGGGGTGCAGGGAGGCTTGGGTGGAAGCCATTACACTTCAGAATTCCATTTGTGAGGGTCAGAGAGCGGTCAAACGATCTCAGGGTCTCGACTTTGTCCAGGGACTTTGTTTTACCACGTTTTTTCTACGAGAAAAACACAACAGAGGGACGAATTATTGTTAGACACCTCAAAGAAAGCAAAGGTTAATCATTTATGCATGGGCATGTTGTTTTAGTTCTACACACTGATCAGAGCCAGATGCTAAAGTTTAAAAGAAAATAACAGAACAGAGAATTTAAAATGTTCATTTGATTGAAATTCTTTACAACCGACTCCAGTTCTGCAATAGAAAACACTCCAAGTCTTATTCAGTTCAGCCAAATGCTCCGTGAGGTGATTTAACCAGGAAGTACTGACAGTGCCAGCAGAGGTGGGGGGGTTTGGAGCAGTGGTGTAGTCTACATTTTTGTACTGGGTATACTGTGCTTAGAAACCAAAGTACAGCAGTTAGTACACTGTAATCGTCAAGTTATTTTGATTTTTAAGCATAATGAACATTTCAAAATTTCTCTGATGCTTTTATTTGAATAAATGAACAACAAACTTTGTACAACAGTTGGCTTTGTATTAAAAACACATTACAGATTATATAAAACAGTATCAAAGCAAAACATGTTCAAGTACTAAGTAGTAAGTACAGAAGTATTAATTATACACAAAAAACAGGTTGAACCAACTAAAATGTTCCAAATGTGTTGACAATGACATGAGCCCAGGTCAGGTATCATTACCAATGATACCTGACATGGGCTCATGTCATTGGGCACGTTTAAGTAGGTATACTGAAATTCCCAAGCTTTTTTAGTGGGTATACCCATGTATCACACAGACTCCACCACTGGTTTGGAGTGAACTCAACACTCTGATCACTCCTACAGGCTACTCCACTGAGCTCAGAAATCTGAGCAGAAAACACCTCCGTTGTCTGTCGAACACATTTATTAGACAAACTAACACGAGAGAACACACAGCACTTATGCAAGACGGCAGTTACAGCCAACAAACACTGTACCTTTTTCTCTGGAGAAAACTTTAGAGGTTCTACAATGAACAAGTCATCTGGACCTACTGGGGAGGGGAGAGAGGGGCCAGGTTAATGATGGAATGGCAAACTGGAATACATACATGTAACAAGCATGATGTGACCTTGCAAGTAGTTTCATTTTTTTTTTTTTCTTGACTATGGTTGTAAAATAAGCACAAATAAAATAGTCTGAAATCACAAAATACTGAGTTAGCTTGGTGCTGACTGCTACTTGCAAATGTCTACCATGAGCAGGAGAAGCATCGTGCTCCATTACTACACCCCTGAAGCCTGCATGTGGACGCAAGCTGGCAATGACGACATCCCAGCCTCAAGGGCAAAGCCTGCCTTGCACATGCACACAGCTGAGGAATAATGAACAGCAGGGGGAGTTTTAGGGCTCTCAAATCAAAGGCTTCAGTCTTCTCTTGACTCTCCCAATGCCCGAGTATTGCTTCAGATTTGGGCTTTTACGAAGCAAAAGCAAAAGTTTATAAAGTGAGAGACAATCAAAATAAGTAAAGATTGCATAATGCTTAGAAGTAGCAGGAGCAGAAGTGTTTGAAAGGTGCCATAGCCCTTTGCACTGTGATGAGCGTGGTGTCTGGTGTCAGTGATGCAGGCAAGGAGGTTCACAATGGATGGAAATAGAAAAGTAGGTTGGAGGACAAACGTGTGTGTGTGTGTGTGTGTGTGTGTGTGTGTGTGTGTGTGTGTGTGTAAGGCAAGTGCTCTCACCTTCTGTAGGGGACAACTGGAATGACTTGGAGCGGACAAGCGGGCAGGCCACCCTGCGTTTCAGGCTCATGTCATCATAGGACGAGAAGCATCTGATAAGAACAAATATGACATTTACGATGTGTTGCTCACGGTAGATAGTAAAGTTTTCATATGTAGCAGGACAAGAGTGATGGCATTTGATAAAGGACTCCAGAATGTTCCAGGAATTGTACAACAGCGAGCTTGAATCCAAACGAACAGCTGAGCAAATCTGTGAGATTCAAATGCCTCACCTTCAGAAACAGAACACTCCATTCAATGGTGTGTGTGTGTGTGTGTGTCAGAGTTAGAGTCAGAGAGGTTTTATTGTCATTTCAGCTAAGTACAAGTACATATTGAAATGAAACAGTGTTCCCCAGGATCACGGTGCAACACAGAACATAACATGCCCTTTTTTTTATGCTGTATTTGCATATACCATACAAGAGATTAATAATCTCAATGGATTTCTTCCTGGTAAAATAAAGGTTTAATAATAAAAAGTGCAGATACACAACAGTACAATAAATACAAACAGACTTATAATAAATATAAAAATACATCTAACCTAATCTAAACATTCCAATCTAAACAAGTAATTAAGAGACAAGACTAGAGACACGTGTTGATGAGTACATGTGTAGTACATGAGGTAGAACATGTTCTTATATGTGATTAGCAGCACAAAGTTTGTCTGTTTTTGTAGCAGAAGAGATATAAACCGTGTAGGTTGGAGGACAAATATGTGTGTGTGTGTGTGTGTGTGTGTGGGGGGGGGGGGGGTTCAAGAAAAACAGAGAAGCGAACCTCTTGGGGCTAGGGTAGTGGTTGCTCTTTGGGAGGGCGACGGTGGTGGTTTTGGGACTTGGAAATGAGCTGCGGCAGTACTGCAGACACAGCAGGAGTCCCAGCAGCAGACACAGAACCACAGAGACCACCAAGTAACTTTGACCGTCAGATACCTGCACAGACGTTTAGGGAATCATTAGAACAAGACAAATGAAAATACTCTTCAAAATGCTGAAGGTCACTAATGTATCAGGCACACGCACAGACATTCCTAAACACCCAAGTTTATAAAATTCATGTAAATAACGCACTCCTACACTGCTGTGGAGCAATGAAACCAAATTTCATTCAGTTGTGCATGGTGCACTGTACAACTTGAATGACAAAGTTTTATATTATATTACCAGTATTATCATTAGTATTATTAACAATCCTCAGAACCAGGCAATCTTCAGATGGGCATACAATCTGCTCCGGCTGGCTCAGGTTAGAGAGGACAGGAATATGACACAAAAACACAATGGCTGGTTCATGTGCAACAATGAATGGGAAGAAACAAACAAAAAAACACAATATTGATCAAAATAATGACAAATACAAACAAACAGTAAGTTCGTGTTTGCATGTTTGAACAAGTTAAAACAGCAGCAGAGTGAAAAAGCGTGGTCCGTTTGCCGTCCAGCAGTTTAGGCCTATAGCAGCACAACTATGTGTTGGCTAAGGAAACCCAAGCCAACCCTAACTATAGGATTTATCAAAAAGGAAAGCCTAAAGCCTAATCTTAAAATTAAACAGGGTGTCAACATCACAGAAAGAAACTGGAAGTTGGTTCCACAAGAGAGGAGCCTGATAACTGAAAGCTCTGCCTCCCATTGTGCTTTTGGAAACTTTAGGAACCGCAAATAAACCTGCATTCTGAGAGTGAAGTGCTCCGTTAGGAAAATATGGAACAATAATATCCTTAATATAAGACTGAGATTGGTTTTAAGAGCTTTATATTTTAGAAGTAAGACTTTAAGTTATATTCTGAGTTTAAGAAAGAGTCCGTAGGAGAGCTCATATCTCTCCAGGTTTAGCTTCTCTCCACTAACTCATCAGAACTCCAGCAGCAGCACCCACCTAAAGTCAAAGGGTGATAAATGCAAGAACCAGCTTTTCTGCATCATTTTGGGACCATACGTTTCTAAATTTAGTGATATTGCACAGCTGGAAGAAAACTGTCCAGGTAACATTTTAAGTTAAAAGACACATCCTGATCCAAAATGACACCAAGATTCTTTACATTAGAGCTGGAGGCCAAATTCATGCCAAACAGAGGAAGTGAGAAACTACTACAGTTGTTCCCAAGATGCTCGGGTCCAAAAAACACAACCCCTGTCTTGTCTGAGTTTAAAAGCAGAAAATTAAGAGTCATCTGAGTTTTCAGAGACTGAAAAGCAGCTACTAAAGCTATAGGAATCCAGTTCCTTTTTTAACGTGGAGGGGAATATAAACATTAGACACAGTTAACCACTGATATTCTAGTAAATTTGTTATTTTGTACAAATCTAATTTTCCTTGTGATATCAACTTGATTTGTTGCAAATTACAGTGCTAATGCCATAACTATTACTAAAACAGAATTTAAATGAAAACGTAAGCGATGAAGAATAGCAGGTAGGTACCTCACGCTGCAGCTGGTTCACTGTAGCTGTGAGATTGAGCATCAGTTTGGTGACGTCCTCCAGCTGACTCTGCAGGATCTGGATGGACTCGGTCTGCTTTTGGTCCTGAACAAATAAGCAAACAAGCCACAGCAGTTCATCAGTTGTCAGTCAATCATAGAATTACAAGTGCAGTATTTACTTTCCATGCAAATAAAATTTACATGTTTTTTATGGATCAATTTCTTTATTCCTTTTACATTAAAAGGTAAATGAAAGTGACCTGCTCCTGAGCAATGCGGGAGGTGTTCTGTAGCTTGATGATGGTTTTATTAAATGCTTTCTGCATCTCTTCCATCTGTTTACGATACCTATGAACGACAAAATGACAACTCAGGAGAATAATCCAAATGTTGCAACATGTTCACATCTGGAAACTGTAGGGTTTTAATGACTAACTAATAAAAACAAACTTTTAACTCAGTGTTTCACCTCTGGCTCAGCTCCTCCAGGTATCTGCTGGACAGACTCATGTTCATCTCCAGAGCTTTGATCCTGTTGTTCAGTCTCATGAAGACGCTCTCCTTCTGACTGGACCCGTGAACCGCTCCTCCATTTACCAAGATGCCGTTCCCACTTCCTGTTCCACCGTTGTAATCCACTCCGTTCTGCAATTCTGCGTAGAAGTCTGTGGCAGTTCGTTGGTTCCCACTAGTGTTTAGCAGGTCCCCCTCCACAGTGTCGTCTATCTGATGGGGCTCTGTCTGTGACAATGTGTCCCCTTGCTCCGTCTGAAGTGGAGGAGCCTGAATATTTTGTCTCTGCATGTCCCCACCATTGTCTTCACCTGATGAGTCTGTGTGGATGTCAGGTGGCAGGAGCACTGCTGGTCCCTCAGTGGGAGACGGGGTGAGGTCTTCAGGTCTTGATGCAGTGGGATGAGACAAAACGGGCTGATCTTTGACCGAAGGAACCACAATACTAGAAAATACTTTCTCAGAAGAGAGAGGCTGAGAGGGAGAACTGACAGATATAGTCAGAGCGGCACTGCTGGCCTGCTGGGTCTCTGGAACAGAGACGGTTTGGAGGGGTGGTGTGGGGACGGGGTCCAGGGCTGCATCTGTATCAGTAGGCGACGGCCTCTCCTCATATGTGGGGGTGGGCTGCACCAGGGTGCTCTGAAAGTCTGAGAAACTGTTAGTGGGGATGGTAGAGGCTTTACTGGGCTCGAGGAGGATGCTGTCTGGAGTGTGAGCATCAGGTGACTGAGTGTTCATTTGTACATCGGCAGTGTGTACTTCACTTAGAGGTGTCCCCTCATCGGGGCCCCCAGAAGGCACCTCAAGTTCTGAAGCTTGTTCTGTGAGGGGAAGAGCTTGTTCAGGAGGTGCAGGAGTCAGGACTGGTGGAGGGGTGTGTGTGGGGACAGGGCTGTGCACATCAGGGTGAACGAGTGTCTGAGAGCTGAGCTGCCTCTTCCTGAAGCTGCGCAGCCTCTCCTTGGCCAGCCGGGCGGAGCACCAGCGATGAAGCAGCTCTGGCAGCGTGGCCACGCAGGACAGAGACAGCGAGGACAGGGAGGAGAAGGGACAGTATGTCTGGCTCTCCCACTGATTCCTGTCAGCCTCCCTTCTTGATTTATCGTCCCTCTTTTCTTCTTCTTCTTCCTCTCCCTCCTCCTCCAACAGAATGACAGTAGATTGGTTAAGATCTTCGTCCTCCTCCTCCTCTACAAGTATAACAATCTGTCTATCCTCATGGGACTCAGATAATTGGGAGTCGTCAGAGACAAAGGACTCTTTAGTTACAGGCTCTTCTGACTGTGAAGGCTCAAATCTGAAGAAAGATGAACACACATCATGCGATTTGCTAAAGAAAATTAGGACCAAAAAAAAAACAAAACAATGCAGCTTTGTAAATTATAACTTCACTCATCGTTGTGCAACACAAATCAATTTACAGTGACGGTGATCACTTACACTGTGGAGTCGTGAAGAGCTTCATCAGGTTCTGCTTTAACTTCTGTGATCTCATTTTCACCCCCCTCTGTTGTTGTATTGCCTGGGATTTGGAAAATTACACAATAAATCAGTAATGGGATGCACGTGCACACACATTTATGCACACATACGCACACCTAAACAACCTAAATCTGCGGTCACAAGTATTGTCCTTCCTATATTCCTATACTTCCTTGATCTAAAGGAAATAAATGAACAAATACACACAGTGTGACAGGAACGCCCATGTTTGGAAAAATAAAGGAGAAATACGGGGAACCAGTTAGAACTGGTCTCTCTTGCAGCCTTTCTTTGGTTTTTGTGGGTGTAAATTAAAATAGATTTCTGTAACTGTGGAAAGCCAGCAAGAAGAGAGGCAGAGAAGTGTTTTTTAATGTTAGAAAGGCAAAAAGAAATCCAACAATTTTTTTTTTTTTAAACAAAATTTTATTTCTAAACCAATTTTTCAGAGTTAGTTTAGAATAATTAAAAAAAAAGAAGCATAAGAAAAAAGTTAACGTCCTCAAATCTAATTCTTATGAACAAAAGCTAGGAAAGAAAGTCATTCTTGAAGCACTGCGTGATAAAACTACAAATGGACTTGGCACTCCAACATTTCTGCTGGAGCTCTAAATGTTACCGAGACCTCCTGGCAGCAGCAGAATCCACTGAGGCTGCACACACTGAAGCAGACAGTTTGTCCAAACATGTTGACAGACAGATGCAACAAGCAGCTCGAAAAAGAACAGAAAACTGTTTTTCCTGATAAATATACTGTGACGTACAAAGGTATGAAAAAAAAGTGCATCGAAATTATGTTTGTTAGCTAAATATATTTGCTGTACGCAAATATTACAGCATAAAGTACAAATCTACTTAAATGTAATTAAAAGTCGAGTATTGCAGAAAGATGTTTGTTAAATTCAGGTGCCAACTGGAGTCTCTTATCCTCCGTTTTTTTCTGAGTGAGGAAAATAAAACGTTGATTTTGACGTTTGTTATCATTTAATTAATTTAAGCACAAAAACAAATGGGAAATAACAGTTAGAGGGCGGGCCCCAGAAACCGTCTTATCAGCAGCAAACTGGTTGACCCACTATTGGGACCAAGTTTGTTGTGGCTCCTTGGACTGATGAAGTCCTTTAGATGAAGGATGAAATGTCTCAACAAAAAAAGAAACCGTCCAGATGACCGGACTGAACTTTGTTGGATTTTTTTTACCTGGATTAATGAGCATGAACTTTGATGATATAACAGTTGACTAGAAAATAAGTAGAAATGGGCAAAGCACTGGTGCTCTAGTGGGAGTCTTTCATGTTGTCTGATGGTTGACTCATGCTAAATGACGGTAGAAACTTTTGATTGGTGCTGATCTGTAAATTACTGTTAAACCTGTCAGACTTCATATTCACTAATAATAAGGTGTGGCTGCTCACAGTGAACACAGTGAACAAAGGATTGTTGATTAAAACAGTCGATTGGTGAAGGACTTTTGTGTATAGAATTAAAATGCTTAAAAAATATTTTATTAAAATACACGATTCAGTTGAAAAAATGAGGAATATCAAAAATGGTAAATGGTCTGTATAACACCGTTCTATCTAATCAAGATACTCAAAGTGCTTTACAACACAATCTGAGGCTTCATTTACCACCACACACACATTCATACAGCACTCTACTAGAACATTGAAGTTTAAAGGATGAATACCTCCCGTCTCTGCTTCACCTTCTAGTTCTTGCTTGCCCCCCAGCACGTTTGCAGCGATGTTGTTTACCATATTAAGGATGGCATCTAAAGGAAAGAAACACCCACATAATTTATTCACATCACGAGATGTGACTCCTGACAGAGCCCGAGGCCGAACTCACCTAAAAAATGAAAGCACAGGTTAAAACAAGATCTTTTACTCTTTTACTCAACATCGTCTTTGATGTCGACACTTCTTTGCCTCAAGATAAATTTTTATGTTTTATTATTTGTTCATTTACTAAAGCACACCCAGTAATAAAACTAGATAAGCCTCTGATGATTTTACTGATAAAAGTATATTTAGAAGGGATGCAACAGGAGGCCATGTATTTTTGAATGCGACTGGAGTTCTAAAAAAAGAGGAACAAAAATGAAAATCCTCATGCTACATAATTTTAGGCAATCTCATAAAACACAGCCTGTATGTGTGATAGCAAGTAGATAAAAAAAAAAATACTTGGTCAACATCACAACAAGACTTTATTTGATGGAGCTGTTTGCTAACTGAAGAGATCCAGAGCTACTCAGAAGTTTAAGCTTTTTATTTACAGTTTATCGACAGCCTTATAAGCAAACAAAGATAAATCTGAATAATTGTATTTATTATTAAAGTCAATCTGAAATTTGAATTTGAAGCCTAAGAACTGAACAAACTTCCTCAGAATAAATTCCTTATAGTTGGCTCAATCAAATTATATGTCAAGAAAGTCATAATAGACAAATTCTTTCCATCTCTAAATGTAACAAAGCCTTTACCATGTTACAAACTACATATTAGGTGTTTTATTTGGAGGTTTTTTTTTGCAATGTTATGGGACATTTGCAGTCTTGTTTGTCTCTATGTGTCCCTGTGATGGACTTGCGACCTGTCCAGGGTGTCCCCCACCTCTCATACAGTGACTGCTGGATATAAGCACCAGTGACCCCCTGAACCCGAAAAGGAAGAAGTGGGTAAAGATAATGAACGGATGGATTTTCTCCTTAGATTAGCTGTAAAAGCATATATGAGTCAGTGAGTGTTTACTTACTGGTTGCTGAACCAAGCAGGTTTTTAGAGGCCTTCTCCTCAGAAGGCTGGTAGCCAGGAGGATAGTCTGAAGAAAAATACACATCAAGTTACTGTTGGCAAAAAATACCTCCTTTTAAATACAAATGTATGGTGGTGGCTATCTTGAATTGCGATGTGGCAACGAAAGTTTTGATAGTGACATTTCTTATGTCTAGATGCTGCCACAAAATGGCACACATTAAAATGGAAGTTAGCACATTGCTTAATTTTCAAGATGCTGCTGGTTCACTTCCTGCCCTTTCTGCTAGTGACTCCCAAGCTACTTCCCAAACAAAGCTCTGTGGTTTTGCTGACATGAAGGTAAAAAAGAAACAAAAAAAAAAACTGTCATCTAACCAAGTGGAACGTTAGCCTATGAACTGGGAGTAGGAGGGGCCATCTATGTAATATGTCTTTCAGAGCTGCAGTTAGGGCCATATCATTAGCATAATTAACGAGAGAGAAGTCTGTTTTGTTGCAAATCAGTTCTTTCATATATTCCTGGTCTTGTTTTGGTGAAATTAAAACTGCATATTTACAAAAATAGTTTGGAAAAAAAAAAAATCTTGACAGTATATGTGCATCTTACCATAGTCTTCATCAAGGTATTCTAGTCTCTCTGAGGGGTACTGAGAATCCGCTATTTCCTCATACTCCTCCACCATGCTGGTACCAAACACTCTACACCCAGCAAACAAAGAAATACTGTTAGAACAACAATTCCACAAAAAAATAAATAAAGAGTTAAAAATATATACAGCAGGGAAAAAGGAATTAATTTTATAGGTTAAAGCAACAAAATATCTTCTTTCGGCTTTTCCCTCTTCAGGGGTCACCACAGCGAGTCATCCTCCATCTCACTCTGTCCTCTGCATCCTCTGTCCTCACTCCAACTACCTTCATGTCCTCTAACTGCATCCATACATCTCCTCTTTGTCTTTTTCCTTGCAGTTGCATTTCTAACATCCTTCTACCAGTATACCCACTGTCCCTCCTCTGGACATGTCCAAACCATCTCAGTGTGGCCTCTCTAACTTTATCTCCCAGTTGTTCAACCTGTGCTGTACCTCTGATGAGTCAATTCCTAATATTATCCATCCTTGTCACTCCTAAGGAGAACCTCAACATCTTCATTTCTGCCACTTCCAGTTCTTTCTCGTGTCTTTTAGACCATGTCTCTGTCTCCAGACCATACAACACAGCTGGTCTCACCACTGTCTTGTAAACTTTTCCTTTTACCTTTGCTGACACACTTTTGTCACAGATCACTCCTGAAACTTTTCTCCATCCACTCCATCCTGTCTGGACTCTTTTTCCACTTCTTTGCCACACTCCCCATTTTCCTGGACAGTGGACCCCAAGTCTTTGAAGTCCTGCACCTTTGTGACCTCTTCTCCTTGTAGCCTCACTGTCCCACCGGCCTCCCTCTCATTCACACACATGTACTCTGTCTCACTACGGTTGTAAGTAGTAAGACATTCCTCTTCTTTCAAGTGAACACCTCCAAAGAATGAGCTGCTGAAATGTTCAAAAATTAAAATACAACAAGAAAGTGCTTTTCTGCAAAAATAAAAATAAGTTTACATGAAATGCAATATGCTTTTGCCTAAAGCTGCCTATGAAGAAGTCTCAGCAAAAGTGTTAAATAAGCTAATAGATGTATGGCAGCTAAACACTTTTCATGTAGTCAATTACAACTGTACAATGCAAATACTGGAAACACTGCTCACTGGAATATGGGTGTCTGAAGAGTAAATGACTCCTACTGTCATTTTAGCCCCCTTATTTAACAATACTTCTACTAAAGAAAATGGTGGTGATATAATCCCTTTCTGCTGTATTGGGGTTTTCGTACAGATCGTTAAAACTTTGAACGAAAATGATTAGAGTGAAGGAAAGCTTAACCTCCGTATGTAAGAGATTTTAAATTTGTTATTGAAGGTGTTACCTGAAGAGACTGAGGGGACAGAAGTGTTCAGACCCAAAGTGGGACAGGAGTTCAATCTGCAGGAAACATGGACAGACTTAAAATGAAAACACCATCTACAGATTTAATAATAGAAATTATGTAAAAATAAAAAATACAACTTCATATGCCCATTTTAGAAGCAAAATTCACAAATGAATATTAGTTGGCCCAGCTTCAACATAGGTGTGTGCTCAATTTATTATAATTTACATTCATTCAAAAAAGGCAACCCCCTGAAGTTAACCCAATTAAACTAAATCCCCATTAATAAGTGCAGTATCATAACTGAGTAAAGTGCTAACCTTTATGTACTTGATGAACATCTGATGTGAGCAGAAGACAGGAAAGTGATAGAAGGAGAGAGAAATAAAACAAGTCAGAATAAAGAAAAATTCAAGCTACAAGCAAGTCAAGAATTTGCACACAGTTCAGCTTTCAGGAAAACAAACAAGCACACTGCTGTTAAGTGTTGCTGCATTTCACAAGGAAGGACGGTGGACAGACGTCTACAACGAGCCAGAGAGGCACTAACAGGATGGAAAAGACAGACACTAACGAGCTCTACGTGGAAAGAAATCTGTGTATGCAATAAAAGTTTTACTGCTACAATTGCTAAAATCACAGTAAACCCTACAACAAATCACAAAATGGCATTAATCAAGTGTTTAACATGCAAGCACTGAAAACATTCGGTAAAGGACCGAGAGACGTGTCAGAGATGAGAGCTTAGAAAAGTATTTTCTTTACACACATTCAGATGAACAAGGCAAGGCTTTGTGTTATTGGATGCATTAAAACATTTTTGTTAAATGTGAAAATGTCCGTGCTATTGAATAAATAAAACTGTCATAAACAATTAAAGATTAATACTGCACAGGTAAAAAATACAATAATCAGCACAGATACATGGAGGGCAAGCTAGCCACCAAACAGGCATTTATAAGTAAACATTTTTGTTTGTTTGTTTAATTAGGTTATTAATGCTGAAAAGGAAACAGTAAGGGTGTAGATGTACACAAAACATGCAGTGTTCTCGGAGTACTTTTCACAAGAGAACATTTGAAAAGCTCTTGTGGGGTTCATGACTCCAGAAGCAAAAAAGCAGAGTACCTTCACATATTTGGCATAAAGCTGTTCATCCAGTGGAAAACTCTGGACTATTCGCTCATCACGGGCATGAAAAGTACCTAGTTTTACCCACTTGTTTGTGGGATATCTGCAAACAAAGAAAGGAAAGAGTTCAGAGGGTGTACGTGAGGACGCAAGATTACTGCAAACATAAGACAAGTTCTCATGGGGTCGCTGTGGAAGACATTTCATTCATTATGTGCAGAGATCTGTCTAATGCCGAAGGTGAAAACTTATGCAGTAGTCCCTCGCTACTTCGCAGTTCATTTTTCGCGAACTCGCTCTATCACGGTTTTACAAAATAAGATTGGACATGGCACACAATTGGCTGATTGATGGATGAGCTGCACGATCAGCATGGAATTTTTTATTAAAATTAATTTGTAAAATTATTTAGCACCTGCTGCATCTTTGTACAGCCCATACTGCAGGATAAGCTTCCTCCTGTAGCTGAACAGCTGTTCTCCGTGCAGAGCGGAGAAGTGGGCGTGGCCAAGAACGCTTGCAGGCGGCTGAGAGCAGCGGAGGCAGGGAGCTGAAATCATGACATTCTGTGCTCTTTTAGATCGTTTAGAGTTTAGAAACATTGTTTGGAATATTCTAAGAGTGTGGGAAGGGTTTACAACGCCTTTATATGAATACTAATATAAACTACTACTTACTACTTGTACTACTATTCCTACTTTGTGGTTTTTCCACTTATCGCGGGGCTTCAGAGTACGGATCCCCGCGATAAATGAGGGACTACTGCATACTATTTGTGAAGTGAGTTCAGGCTAAGAATAAATCCTAAGTGTAAAAAAAAAAATGCAACTTCAGCTCTGAAATTGTTAAACCCAAGAGATAAAAACAGAAGAAATATAACTAGTCTTGAGAAGTGGACTGAAATTAAAAGGCCGTTAAAGAGCTTGAATGTGACTCAAACAATGAAAATTTCAAGTGACCAAATTATTAAATCTGTAAAACAGCTGGCATTCATGAAGTTATTAACAATGTGGCATTTAAGATTTAATTAGATGTTATTTTAACTGACAATTATGTAGCATAAATCATGCAGAGAAATAATGATCCTTATTCTATACAAGTGACCAGATCTGATTTGTACTGCAACTCTTCACAGATGTAATGAAAAGGTTTGAAGTACATTTTCCATTATTCCTATACTTTATTTTTAATGTTAACTTACATAGCACTGTGTTTAACATGCTGAAAACAAGGAATGCCTACCTGTCACTGATGGAAACTACAAAGTCTTTAGGTGTGGATGAGAAAAGCTCAAAGTTGGCAATGTCTAGCTGTTTGACTTGAATGGGCTCACAGAGCTCGATCACAAACCTAAAAAGAAAATTAATTAATTAGACTAACAAAAGTGAAACTCCTCTGAAACAAGGTTCTGCCATGAGCTTAGTGCCACTTGCTGTGTATCAGAACACCTACCAGATTTTGTTGCTGCATGGATTTAACATGTAAAGATCCATATTTTCAATAAGTATAGCTGAAGTACTCTGGGAAAAGGAATAAATCCCAATCAGCATTAAAAGAAACAAACACCATGACATTTATACAATACATTAAAAACAAATGCAAATATATATTTTCACAAGCTGCATTGTAAAAGATGTAGGTTTGTATATTAGTATTTTTTTTTTTTAAATAGTGATACCAGGAAATCCCAACCATCTGTGTGTTTGTTAGCTGTTGACAGGAATGATGAGTGTGCAACCTTGGCCTCGTTGTTGGCAGAGAGGATCTTGGCACCACACTCCACAGAGGCGTAATTATTCTTGAAGTTTTTCTGAATCTTCTTCACTGGATGGGGGCTGCCGCTAGTTGAGGTATGGAGAGTCTGACCTGGATGAAAAGATTAGGTCCATTATAAACAGTGAAAAGTTTTTAAAAAAGAACAGAGGAAAATACACACACTATTTTTTTTTTATTTATTAAACTTTATCAGGAAAATCCCACTGAGATCACAGATTTATTTTGAAAGAGAGGCCTAGGCCTGAAGGCTGCCTAACATGCATGTTTGCATGTTTTGGACTGTGGGAGGAAACTGGAGTAACTTGAGAAAATCTATGCAAACACGAGAACATGCAAACTCCATACAAAAAGACCCCAGGTTCAAACCGGGGATTGAAGTCAGGATCTTCTTTCTGTGAGGCAACAGTGCTAACCACAAAGTCGTTGTGCTGCTCAAAAGCACTGTACATGGTGAAAAATTAGAAATAAGTAGGCTCAATAAGCAGTTTTTTTTATATATATATATTAGAAAAACATAAAAACAGTGAGAAAGCCAATTTTGTTCCCCATATAAAATTATTTTTTATGTAATTAATCGGACACTTGACCTTTTGTGGCGTTAAATACAACATAGAATATTAACCTGAAAAGCCTGTTTATTTATTTGATATTATATAGTTGTTACAAACGTACTAAAACTTTACACATCATTGCTTTGACTGCAGTTGTGTTTTCTTCCATTTATATAAAACTACATTTGTTTTATATGACCACACTTACTTTTCTCCATAACTTGCTTCCTCCACTCATCAAAGGTGTGGAAGTCATCTTTACTGGGTACTGAAGGATCAGCTTCTTTGACCTCAGTATCCCCCATCTGAAACACAAAAACATTCAAATCATTCACAGATCTACAGAGTATAAAATACCTTTTTGCACTGCAGTAAACTGGCTACTTAGTATTACTGACTCATTAGATTTTAATGTCATTATTAATAATATTCATGATGTGTAATGTACTACAATAATAAAGACTTTTCATGAACAGTTCATAGTATTAACCATAAACCATAAACCAGCCATAAACCAGCCACTATGGAGCACAAGTCAGTGTATCTCTTGACCGGTCCCAAGCCCAGGTAAATGGTGAGGGTTGTGTCAGGAAGGGCATCCAACGGAAAACACTTTTACCAAAACTATAATGAGAGTTCATCAAAGCAAAATCATACTGGCTCGGTCGAGGCCCAGGTTAACAATGAACGTCACCAGTGCTGTTGACAAACAGGGTGCTGGCGGAAATTGTACTACCATTAGTGGAAGACCATGAGGAGGGAAATGTGTCAGGAGACAGAGGAAAGTCAAGAATGTAAGACTGAGGGTTGCAACTCTAAATGTGGGAACAATGACAGGGAATGGTAGAGAGCTGGCTGACATGATGCAGAGAAGAAAGGTCAATGTTTTGTGTGTCTAACAAACCAAGTGGAAGGGAAGCAAGGCTCGCAGCATTGGAGCAGGGTTTAGAACTGTTTTACCATGGTGTGGATAGTCCTGAAAGAAGAGTGGGCAAAGAATGTAGTAGAGGTGAAAAGAGTGTCAGATAGGGTGATATGCCTGAAGGTAGAAGTAGAAGGTCTGATGCTAAATGTCGTCGGTGGTTATGCCCCACAGGTTGAATGTGATGTGGAGGAGAAAGATAAATTTTGGAAGGATCTAGATGAAATGGTAAAGTATTCCCAGGGAGGAGAGTGGTGATCAGAGCAAACCTGAATGGACATTTTGGGGAAGGAAACAGAGGGGATGAGAAAGTGAAGGGTAGGTTTGGCGTCAAGGAACGAAACCAGGAAGGACAGATGGTGGTGTATTTTTTCAAGAGAATGGAAATAGCCATAGTCAACACCTATTTTCAGGTCTCAGGTATTATCAGGTCTCTCTTGTAAATGAGTCCTCGAGGCTCAATGGGATTTACCTGTCTAAATAAAGGTTGAATGAAAATTTCCAAAAGAGGGAGGAACAAAGAGTGACCTATAAGAGTGGAGGAAGGAGTACGCAGGCCGACTACATTCTGTGTTGAAGAGGAAACCTGAGGGAGATTGGAGACTGTAAGGTTGTGGCAGGAGAAAGTGTGGCCAGACAGCATCAGATGGTTGTGTGTAGAATGACTGTTGTTGTGAAGAAGAGAAAAAGGGTAAAATCAGAGAAGACAACTAAAATGGTGGAAGATGGAGGAAGAAAGTAGGAAAAAAGGAAGGGGGAGTGGTGGCACAGAGGTTAGAGAAGGTAAGCCTGTGATCAGAAGATTGTTGGTTCAAGCCCCGGTAACGACAACATCAAAAATGTGGGTGGGGTAGGTGAAGCACCCACACCTGCCCCCACCCTCGTTCGCCCCACTCTGGGCCCATGAGCAAGGCCCTTAACCCTCATCTGCACCCTAAACAAGTCTCTCTTGAAAATTAGTTCTTGTGGCTCAATGAGACTACCTGTATAAAAAAAGGGTAAATAAAATTAAAAAATGTGAGAAATTCAGAAAGGAGCTGTTAAAGGCTCTGGGTGCTAAGAAAGAGCTTCCAAATGACTGGACTACTACAGCAACAGAAATTAGAGAGACGGGTAGGAAGGTACTTGGTGTGTCATCTGGACAGAGAATGGATGATAAGGAAACCTGATGGTGGAATAATGAAGTGCAGAATGTTATTTAAAGAAAGAGGTTAGCCAAGAAGAACTATGACAGTGAGAGGAGACAGGAGTATAAGGAGATGGAATGTAGAGCAAAGAGGGAGGTGGCAAAGGCAAAGCAGAAGGCATATGATGAGTTGTATGGGAGGCTGTACACTAAAGAAGGCAAGAAGGATGTGACCAATTGGCAAGACAGAGGGATCAGGCTGGAAAGGATGTATAGCATGTTAGGCTTGTTAAAGATGGTAATGGTAATGCTCTAACAAGTGAGGAGAGTGTGACGAAAAGATGGAAGGAGTATTTTGAAGAGATAAAGAATGAAGAAAATGAAGAGAAAGAAGAGTAGAGGTCATAAAAACTGTGGACTAGGAAGTGGGAAAGATTAGTGAAGATTAGTGATGGTGAAGTCCACAAAGCTCTGAAAATAATGAATAAAGGGAAGGCAGTAGGATCTGATGACATACCAGTGGAGGTTTGGAAATGTCTTTGAGAGATGGCAGTGAGTATTTTTACTCAAATATTCAATGATATATTTCAGGGTGAGAAAATGCCTGAAGAATGGAGAATAAGTGTGCTGGCTGCTTGTGCTCATTTTTAAGAACAAAAGTGATGTACAGAGCAACTACAGGGGAATTAAGTTGATGAGCCACACAATGAAGATCTGGGAGAGAGTTGTGGAAGTAAGGCAAATCAGAAGTGACCATCTGTGAGCAGCAGTATGGTTTCATGCCAAGAAAGAGCACCACAGATGCCATCTTTGTTTTGAGAATGCTGATGGAGAAGTACGGAGGGTCAGAAAAAAACTCAATTGTGTCTTTGCAGATTTAGAAAAAAGCATATGACTGAGTGCTGAGGGAGGAGGTGTGGTGTTGCATGAGGAACTCTGAAAAGGCAGATAAGTATGTTAGACCGGTACAGGACATGTATGAGGACAGCAGGACAGTGGTGAGATGTGTTGTAGGAGTGACGGATAGCTTCAAGGTGGTGGTGGGAGTGCATAAAGGATCGGCTCTGAGCCCCTTCTTGTTTGCTCTGGTGATAAACTGACTAACAAATGAGGTCAGCCAGGAATCCCCATGGACTATGATGTTTGCAGACGACATTTTAATCTGTGGTGAGAACAGGGAACAGGTGGAAGAGAACTTGGAGAGGTGGAAGTATGCACTTGAAAGAAGAAGAATGAAAGTCAGCCATAGTAAGACAGAATACATGTGTGTGAATGAGAGGGAGGCTGGTGGAACAGTGAGGCTACAAGAAGCAGAGGCCAAAGGTGCAGGTCTTCAAGTACTTGGGGTCCACTGTGCAATAAAATGGGGAATGTGGTAAAGAGATAAATAGGAGAGTCCAGGCAGGATGAAATGGATGGAGAAAAGTTTCAGGAGTGATTTGTGACAGAAGAGTGTCAAAGGAAAAGTTTACAACACAGTGATGAGACCAGCTATGTTGTATGGTCTGGAGACAGTGACATTGACAAAAAGACAGAAGAAAGAACTGGAAGTGGCAGAAATTAAGATGTTGAGATTCTCCTTAGGAGTGATAAGGATGGATAAGATTAGGAATAAGGTTATCAGAGATATAGCACAGGTTGAGCAACTGGGAGATAAAGTTAGAGAGGCCAGACTGAGAAGGTTTGGACAGGTCCAGAGGAGGGACAGTGGGTATATTGGTAGAAGGATGTTAGAAAATGCAGTTGCCAGGAAAAAGACAAAGAGGATATATATGGATGCAGTTAGAGAGGAAATAGAGGTTGGAGTGAGGACAAAGAATGCAGAGGACAGAGTGAGATGGATGACTTGCTGTGGCGACCCCTGAAGAGGGAAAAGCCGAAAGAAGGAGAAGACGACGACAAACCAAGTACTCAGCTAGTCCTTGGCCATTTAAACATGGAGATGCATTGAGCTGGGAATAATATTTTTCATGGATTATGTAAGTGCCCTTTTGGACTTCAGAGGGTTTGATCCTAAAAATCCAGACTCAGACATGGTTATGTAAAATGCCAAACAACCTGACAAGAATGTGTGCCTCATAACAGATTAGTCGACAAATCTTTGCACAAAATCAGCAAAATAATGTACATGAGAAGAAGAATTCTCTTGGAAACACTCATACTTTATCATCATTCAATCATGGTGGTACAAACCGGATTCCAAAAAAGTTGGGACACTAAACAAATTGTGAATAAAAACTGAATGCAATGATGTGGAGATGGCAAATGTCAATATTTTATTCGTAATATAACATAGATGACAGATCAAAAGTTTAATCTGAGTAAATGTAACATTTTAAAGGAAAAAATATGTTGATTCAAAATTTCACAGTGTCAACAAATCCCAAAAAAGTTGGGACAAGTAGCAATAAGTGGCTGGAAAAAGGAAATTGAGCATATAACGAACAGCTGGAAGACCAATTAACACTAATTAGGTCAGTTGACAACATGATTGGGTATAAAAAGAGCTTCTCAGAGTGTCAGTGTCTCTCAGAAGCCAAGATGGTAAGAGGATCACCAATTCCACCATTGTTGCGCAGAAAGATAGTGCAGCAATACTAGAATGGTGTTACCCAGTGTAAAATAGCAAAGACTTTTAAGTTGTTATCATCATCAACCATGCATAACATCATCAAAAGATTCAGAGAATCTGGACCAATCGCTGTGCGTAAGGCTCAAGGCCGTAAAACTCTACTGGATGCTCGTGATCTCCGGGCCCTTAAACGTCACTGCACCTCAAACAGGAATGCCACTGTCAAGGAAATAACAGAATGGGCTCAGGAATACTTCCAGAAAGCATTGTCAGTGAACACAATCCACCGTGCCATCCGCCGTTGCCAGCTGAAACTCTAAAGTGCAAAGAGGAAGCCATTTCTAAGCAAGCTCCACAAGCTCAGACGTTTGCACTGGGCCAGGGGTCATTTAAAATAGAGTGTGGCAAAATGGAAGAATGTTCTGTGGTCAGATGAGTCACGATTTGAAGTTCTTTATGGAACACTGGGACGCCATGTCATCCGGACCAGAGAGGACAAGGATAGCCCAAGTTGTTATCAACGCTCCGTTCAGAAGCCTGCATCACTGATGGTATGGGGTTGCATGAGCGCTTGTGGCATGGGCAGCTTGCATGTCTGGAAAGGCACCATTAATGCAGAGAACTATGTTCAGGTTCTAGAACAACATATGCTCCCATCTAGACGTCATCTCTTTCAGGGAAGACCCTGCATTTTTCAACACGATAATGCCAGACCACATTCTGCAACAATCACAACATCATGGCTACTTAGAAGGATCCGGGTACTGAAATGGCCAGCCTGCAGTCCAGATCTTTCACCTATAGAGAACATTTGGCGCATCATAAAGAGGAAGGTGCGACAAAGAAGGCCCAAGACGATTGAACAGTTAGAGGCCTGTATTAGACATGAATGGGAGAGCATTCCTATTTCTAAACTTGAGAAACTGGTCTCCTCTGTCCCCAGACGTCTGTTGAGTGTTGTAAGAAGAAGGGGGGATGCCACACAGTGGTAAAAATGGACTTGTCCCAACTTTTTGGGATTTGTTGACGCCATGAAATTTGGAAACAACAGATTTTCCCTTAAAATGATACATTCTCTCAGTTTAAACTTTTGATCTGTGATTTGTGTTCTATTCTGTATAAAATATTAGATGTTGACACTTCCACATCATTACATTCAGTTTTTATTCACAATTTGTTTAGTGTTCCAACTTTTTTGGAATCTGGTTTGTACATCAATGTCCCCTGTTGCTGAAAGCTTTGAATATTGAATGTCTGGAGTTTTTGAGATGAGTGTTAACAAGGAATGCAATTAAACCTTAATGTTTTACGTAATACAGTATTAAAACTAGAAAGCATAGTTTCTATATGATGGTGGTCAGTGGTGGGCACAGGTAACCAAAAAGTTAGCTTTGCTATCACTAAACAGGTACAATATTTTTTTGCAAAAGCTAAAGCACCAATTTTAATTTTTATCATACACTGCTGTTGCTGACACTGTAAGACTGTCTGTAATGTGACAACATTGTAAGTGAACACAACTCAAAGCAGTTCATAACTCACAAGTTATGATTTATGAACCGCTTTACTTGTGATTCACAAGTAAAGTGTCCACGTCTCGTTCAGAGATGGGCTTTCAGAAATTAATCTGGTCCATCAGAACCAAAGAGGCAGAGCAGAACTCTGCTGTGCTGAAGCAGCGCGATGCATTCAGTGTGTGTCAGACGTCTCTCTTGTGTCATTTACTACAACGAATTTACTCACTTTAACAATACTTTTTGTGGTTAACTGTGGTTAACTGCTTTTTTAAACGAACTAGAACGTTGCCGTGCGTCATCTTCAATATTTTCTCTGTAATAAATCTGTTTGCATTAAAGTAAAGATGTGTGAAAAAAATGTGTGAGAGTTACATCCCAGAATGTGTGAGCATTTCAAAGGATGCTGGGTAGGAATTTTGTGTGCAATCAGTGTTTCCTAGATAACTTGCCATGGCGGAGCACTCATCTTGTCCTTGTGTGTGGGGGGTTGGGGGAGAGAGAGAGACATCTGAACTGCACACTGTTTGTACAGACAGTTTTCGAGCGGGGGGGGTTCAGCGTGAGGGAATGAGGGAAGAGGCGGTGTGAGCGCTGCCTTTAGCCTTTTAGCCTTTTAGCTAGTGTGCCTGTTTTGCATGCCGCTAGCTTAGCGTTTCGTCCGTGCCGACGGGTGGGGGGTGCGCGTTTGGTTCGGTAAGCGGGGCGCTCGGTTCTGTTGACGGGGCGGGGCACCCCGCTTGTATAATGGTAGAGGAAACACTGGTGCAAAGTTTCTGACTATTTATGATGGTTCTGAATGTGAAAATGGGTTTATCATGTCATTTTGTTTGTTTTTTTTCCTCTACCCGGTCATCAAATACATGACATCTATTGTTTTGCAATGTCTGTGAAATGTTACAGAAAATGATGCTGCAGAAAAGCATATAGATTTATATAACCCATTAAAATGGGTTAACTCATCTCAAAAGCTTTCCTCAATTAAATACTTAATGAATGTAAGATGCAGACAGAAACTTTAACAGTGCTAACCTGCAACTCATCCTGACGGGGGAGGGACGCATTGTCCTTCAGGTCCAGCTCCTGTTGTTCCTGCTGTTTGAAGTCTGTGACTTCTGGATTGGACTTCACCTCTACATCTACATCAGAACTCTGGCTTGTCAGCTGCTCATCTTCACTATTTCACAGAAAAAAATGCCAATGATGTGGACAAGAAAAAAAAATGGATGGGGAGAAAACAAGAACAAACATTAATGCACAGAAATACATGGTGCAATAATAAATTTTTGGACTGCCCTTAATTGGAGCAGATTGGCAATAGGAATTGGCAATAGGAATGAGAAGAGAAAATTAGAAACAAAAAAATAAATTAAAAAGCAGGAGTAAATGGAGTGCAAGGCCAGCGATCAATGATTGCACACAGCAGAGAGGTGTAATTTGCACCTTGATTACCTGTCTCTTTGCTTTGATTGACTTCTGATGGTCAGAAACTCACCTGAGGAGAGGGCGACCAATAGGGGAGTTTTCACAGGTTGCCAGTTTGTGGGAAATGACCCTGCACTGTGAATCAGAGTGCTCAGCAAACACAAAGCTGTCTACTGGGAGTTCATCTCCTGCACTGGCAACCCGCACTGCACTGAGGGAAAGAAAGGACATGGCGTTTACCACACCTCCTTACACTCGTAGAGACAGGAAGACGGGGTCAGGGAGAGGAAAAGATGGGGTTAAAAAAAAAAAAGGAAAAAAAAGAAGGGGAAATCGTTAAATGGAACTAAAATAGAGTGGGGATAGAGAATTTGTTTGCTGGTGGGAGAAGCTTAAGCTGACCAGACCAAAGAGTTACATAAGACACCTGGAGAGTGCATTGGTCATGTGACATTGTGACTCACTGGACAGACAGGAGCCATAACCAAAGAGGGCAAACATCTAGACTTAGTATTGTTGTTGATATTGGCCAACAGTAAGGGCTGATGATGTAAACATTGTAAAAATTATTAATTAGAATTAGAATGTAAATAAAATATCTCATGTATATGAAAATGTACAAATGCCACAAAGTGTGTGCTATGGATGTATCAACCAAAGAGAAACCATAAAACGTACTTCATTTTACAAGTAAGAAGATTTGATCTTATTTACCTCATTGTGAATACGATCCGACCATAAATGAAGCTATTCATGCAACAGTTTAAAACTAAATTTAGCCTATAAAGTGCAATTGCTGTTAAATATTGAATTGGCCAGTAGATATTAGCTTTTGTTGCATATATTGTTATACAAAGTGTAGCACTATGCCGAATATTACTACAGTTTTGCGCAAATTATTAAATAGTATAATTTGGTATTGCCTCTGATTTATGCAACATTTACACAGTGTAGAATAATATATATAATATATATAATATATATA